CACCGCCGCCACCACCGCCGCCACCACCGCCGCCACCACCGCAGCCACCACCGCAGCCACCACCGCAGCCACCACTGTCACAACCCTGCGACCAACTGAGATCACCACCAACCCAAACTCCACCACAACAGCACCACCCATCCCCACCCTGGGTCCAGTCATTGGTTTGTAATTATTTTCTAAAGTTCAATTTAACTCAGTTTTGTTTGCATAGCACTAGATCATAACTTCCATAATGTGGATAAATCAGCATTTCAGTGATGTTTACTGATAAACATCACTGAAATGCTGATTTATTGCATTGAGAGTTAAAGCAGCTATTATAGATATTAATATTTTTTAACTTATCAGATAACAAAAAGAGAATTATTGTCTAAATATGCACTCCTCCCAGCTTTATGGAACTTTGGAACAATTTTCAGCTATAGCAAGCAACAGTTTTATGTGAAAAAACTCCAGAAAGAAGATAGGAGATAGACACAAATTGTGACAACAAGTTAGTGGAACACTTAGCAGCTTAGGTTTTGTGTGCAAAATGTGGTCCCACTGCCTTCAGGTGGTGTCACAACATAAAAAGAATCCCTTGGCCTGTCTTGGCATCATTTCTCTCCCATCTCTTATCAGTGTGCCCCACTGTCCCGTGCCCACTTGAAAGTGTGTGTCTTAATAACACTTGCCAGTGTCTCACTGGGAGCTTCCTGCAGGACAACCGCTGCGTCCCAGGTAAGAATATGACAACTTTTAATGCCTGATCTTGGCGATGATACTTTTGCTGAAAGACAATTTTCTTTCATTTTCCTCCTCTTTTCTCAGCCCAAGTGTTTCCAGGCGAGCTTCATTTCATGTCCTTGACATTTCAACCTGAAATGAGCAACAGGTCCTCTTCATTATTCCAGGAAACTGCAGCTAACATCTCTGAAGCGGTAGGTTATGAGCTCACAAAGCATGTTGAATAGTTATAATAAATGCTAAATGGATTTTAGGGGGCCGATTGCAATACAAAGTGAAACACTTCAATGTGTGATATTTATCGGCTAATATATCTAATGATATATTGTCATATTCAAACCAACAAAGAAATGTAAGGCATGTTTGATACAAATGCTT